AATTCCCCCTCGCGCTTGGCTAGCCACAGCTAGCTAGCTACAGCTAGCCACAGCTGGCTAGCCAAGGCTAGCTAGCCACAGCTGGCTACAGCTAGCTGCAGCCAGCTAGCCAAAGCTAGCTAGCTACAGCTAGCTGCAGCTAGCTAGCTGCAGCTAGCTAGCTGTAGCAGCAGCTAGCCACTGCGATTCACCCCCGATCTGCGCGCCGCTGCAAATGCCCGCTCCCCCTAGGCGCAAGTAGCTGTGGCTACCCGTAGCTAGCTGTAGCTAGCTACGGCTAGCTGCAGCTAGCTGTGGCTAGCTGTAGCTAGCTGTGGCTAGCTGTGACCAGCTGTAGCTAGCTGTAGCTAGCTGTGGCTAGCTGTGGCTAGCTGTGGCTAACTGGCTAGCTGTGGCTAGCTGGAGTGGCCGCGGTTTTTCTTTGTCTCGCGCTGCAGAAAACTAAAATAAAAATATAAAGGCAAATATATATTATATTTATTTATATTTATTTATATTTATATAAATATAAATTATATTTTTATAAATAAATATTCTATAAATAAATATTCACATTTGTTCGCAACTATACAAATATGAACCTACAGGGGCCCTTCCGTACGGGCCCCCTTTGGGGGGCCCCCCGGGGGGCCCCCACTAAAAGAGGCCCCCTGGGGGCCCCCTGGGGCCCCTAAGGAAGGTCCTAGGGGCCCCCGAAAGGGCCCCTAAGTACCGGGGGCCCCCAAAGAAGGGTTGGGGGCCCCCCAAGGCCTGGGGGGCCCCCCAACTGCGGTGAGGGGGCCCTCCAACTGGGGTCAGGGGGCCCCCAACTGGGTCAGGGGGCCCCCAACTGGGTCCGGGGGGCCCCCCAAGGGGTCAGGGGGGCCCCCCAAGGGGTCCGGGGGGCCCCCCAAGGGGTCAGGGGGGCCCCCCAAGGGCCCCCATTTCTTCACTTGTGTTGGCTCTCCAGTCCCTTAAAATTGCTGCTGCCAACTGCCTAGAGGCCTCATCGGGGTCTTCTCTTGCAGTTGCTGCTAAAGACTCAACAATGCCTTCAAACCCCCCTTTCTCCGTCACCACCTGCTGCTGCTGCTGCTGCTGCTGCTGCTGCTGCTGCTGCAGCTGCTGCTGCTGGTGGTGGCAGCTCGCCCCTGTGAACTTCGGCAGCGCGAAGCTGTTCAAAGCGAGGGGCCCCCCCCGGGGCCCCTGGGGGGCCCCTGGGAGGCCCCCCAGGGGCCCCCCCAGGGGCCCCCCCAGGGGGGCCCCCAGGGGGGCCCCCGGGGGGCCCCCGGGGGGCCCCCCCGGGACGAGGGCCCCCAGACCCGGGGGGGCCTCCGTCTCCTGCAGCCAAGATGATAAGAGGCCCCAAGAGCCAAGGGCCCCCAAACCCCCCAAGACACAAAGGGCCCCCCTTCGGACATTTCTGTCTTGGTGAGATTTGAAGTGCAAATAAACTTTTGCTGCTTTGCTGCAGCAGCAGCGGGAGGGGCCCCCGGGGGCCCCGGGGCCCCCCGCGCGCAGCAGTTCCCCCATGGCCATCAGCACTGCAGCAAGCAGCAGCGGGTCCTGCAGCAGCTGCTGGTGGGCCCGCAGCTGCTGCAGCAGCTGCTGCTGCTGCAGCAAAGACAGCGGCGGGGGGGGCCCCGAGGGCTGCAGCAAACAGCACTCAAGGGCCCCCATTGCTGCTTCCAAAAAGGGGACAAATAAATTTATTTGCCCCTTTGCAACTGCTGCTGCATGCGCAAAACGACGCACCCGCACTACCGACAGCAAACGCTGCTGCTGCTGCTGCTGCTGCTGCTGCTGCTGCTGCTGCTCGTGCTGCTGCTGCTGCTGCTTGCTTGGGGGGTCTCGTGCTGTTTCAGAGGACGACACGGCGACCGGCTGTTGCAAGGACTGCTGCTGCTGCTGCAGTTGTTGCTGCTGCCGTTGCTGCTGCTGCTGCTGCTGCTGCTGCTGCAGCAGCCGTTTTGCTGCTCTCTTTGGGGGCGGGCTGTCAGTGTAGAGGGCCCTTGCGTCTGGGGGGGCCCCCTCCTTAAGCCACCTTGCTGCGCGCTGCATGGCCTGCAGCAGCAGCAGCTTCTGCGAGACAGAGGTCTGCTGCTGCAGCAGCAGGGGCCCCACGTGCTGCAGCAGCAGCGGGAAGAACGCAGCAAACACAGCAGCAGCAGCAGCAGCAACCAAAGGCTGCAGCAGCTCCGGCTGCAGCGAACAATCCAGCCCCAAAATTGCATGCAGCAGCGGCACTGCGAGGTCCTCTTCCATTTGGTCCGTTAGAAAGCCAAACCCTTGGGGGGCCCCCCCGGGGGGGCCCCCGGGGGGCCCCAAAGGGTTTGCCTCCAGGTGGCGCTGCACCTGCAAGACAGCCAGCCTCGCAGCAGCTTGTGCTGCTGCTGCTTGTCTCATAAGTGTCTCCGCAGCATTTTCTGGATTTGGTTTGGTCCTCAGGGGGCCCTTTCTTGCTGCTGCTGCTGCTGCTGCTGCTGCTGCTGCTGCTGCTGTGTCCCCCAGCACGCGGTTGCCAGTCAGCCACTCGAGGGCCTGCCGCAGGGTCTGTGGGCCGCAGCGGGGGCCCCCGGGGCCCCCAGCAGCAGCAGCAGCAGCAGCAGCAGCAGCAGCAGCAAAAGAGGGGAGGGGCTGGAGGTCGGGCAGTCTGGCCAGCTCGGCCTCTCCTTCGTCTGTCTCTTCTTCTGTCTCTTCATTTAATTCTTTTTTTATTTCTTTTTTTGTTTTTTTATTTTTCTCTTTTTCTCCATTTTCTGCTTCCGTTTCTGTCTCCGTCTCCACAACCAAATGTACCCTCATCTCCCCAACTCCAAGGGCCTCTGTTGCTGCTGGGGGCCCCCCTTGGGGGCCCCCCTCTTGGGGGCCCCCCTTTTGGGGGCCCCCCTCCTGGGCCCCCCCCTCTTGGGGCCCCACCCCCCGGGGTCCCCCCTCTTGGGGGCCCCCCTCTTGGGGCCCCACCCCCCGGGGGCCCCCCTCTTGGGGGCCCCCCTCTTGGGGGCCCCTCTCTTGGGGGCCCCCCTCTTGGGGGCCCCCCTCTTGGGGGCCCCCCTCTTGGGGGGCCCCCTCTTGGGGGGCCCCCTCTGGAAGAACTGTAGGCTCAGTGCTGCTGGGGGGCCCCCCAAGACAAAAGCGCAGCGCCTGCAGCAAAGCAGACCCAGAGGGGCCCCCCCAGCCCGCTGGCAGCAGCTGTAGGGGCCCAGCAGCAGCAGCAGCAGCAGCAGCAGGTGCTGCTGCTGCTGCTGCTGCTGCTGCTGCTGCTGGCTGCTGCGAGTCTCCCAGCAGCAGCTGCTGAGGCGATCCCAAGGCTTCCCCAATGGAAGAGCCCAAGTTGAAAATGGCCCAGGGGCCCCCCCAGGGGCCCCCCAAGGGGCCCCCCCGGAGGCCCCTGGGGGGCCCCCCCTGGGGGGCCTCGGGGGGCCCCCCGGGAGCAGCAGCAGCTGCTGCAGCAAACACTGCCAGCAGCGGCAGCAGCTGCGGGCAGCGCAGCAGCATCTTCTCCTCTCTTAAGGCTTTAAAAATAAGGGGGGCCCCCTCTTCATCTGCTGCAGTATCCGTTGGCGGCGGGGGCCCCAAGTAGGGCCCCTCGGGGGCCCCCTCGGGGGCCCCCTCGGGGGCCCCCGAGGGGGGCCCCTCGGGGGGCCCCTCAAGGGGCCCCAGGGGGGGCCCCCCAAGGGGACCCTCGAGGGGAAACCCCTGAAGGGGCCCCTCGGGGGGCCCCTGAGGGGCCCCCTCGGGGGCCCCCTGAGGGGCCCCCTGCGGGGGCCCCTTGGGGGGCCCCTTGGGGGGCCCCTGGGGGGGCCCCCTCGGGAGTAGTGCTGCAGCAGCAAAACCTTCTGCTGCTGCCATTGCGCAGCAGCGAAGTGTCTCTTCAGCTGAAAGGAGACGAGTGTGGATTCCCTCCATGAGTTGTCCTGCTTCCCAGTTTCCAAGGTTTGCTGCTGCTGCTGCTGCTGCTGCTGCTGCGCCTGCTGCTGCTGCTGCTGCTGCTCGTGCTGCTGCCCTGTGCAGCAAAAAGCGCAGCAAACAGAAAGTCAGCGCGATTTGCTGCTCTAAGGAGACACTTTGCTGCTGCTGCTCGCTGGCCCACCGCAGCAGCAGCGACTGCAGCAACTGCACATATACCTTGCGCAGCAGCAGCTGCTGCTGCTGCTGCTGCTGCTGCTGCTGCTGCTGCTGCTGCTGCTGCTGCGGTGAAAACAGCACATCTGGAAGCGCGCATGCAGGGCAGTTTTGGCCTCTGCACCTTGCGCCATCTGCTGCTGCTGCTGCTGCTGCTGCTGCTGCTGCTGCTGCTGCTGCCTGTGAGTTGCTGCTGCTGAGGGGGCCCCCAAGGGGACAAAAGCCCCCCAAAATGTCAATTAGTGCAGCAGCAGCAGGAAGCCCGAAGGGCGAAGAGGGGCCCCTCCCCAGCAGCTGCGCACTGAAGTGCAGCAGCAAGGGGGGCCCCCCGGGGGCCCCTGCAACAGCAGCAGCAGCAGCTTTTAGGCACTGCCAGGGGCCCCACCCGCTGACTGCTAAAGGGTTTGCAGAAGGGGGCCCCCCCTCCACAGAACCCTCTTCGGGGGCCCCACAGGGGGCCCCATGGGGGCCCCCAGAGCCACTCCCAGGGGGGCCCCCCGGGGGGCCCCCCGGGGGGCCCCCCGGGGGGCCCCCCGGGGGGGCCCCCCGGGGGGCCCCTGGGTACTGCAAGTGGAAGAAGAGATTTAGGGTCTGGAAAATGGCCTTCGCTAGGGGGCCCCCAGAGGCCCCTTGCTGCAGGGCACAGCGCAGCAGCAGCGCCACAGAGCTGCTGACCAGGGGCCCCACAGGGGCCCCCTTGGGGGCCCCCAGGGGGCCCCCCTGGGGGCCCCCCTGGGGGCCCCCTGAGGGGCCCCCTGAGGGGCCCCACAGGGGCAGGCCGCTGCAGGGGGCCCATGCTGCAGCGCGGCAGCAAATGGGTTGCGTCTTGTTTGCTTCTTCTGTCTCCTTAGAGGCGAAAGAAGGCTGCTGCTGCTGCTGCTGCTGCTGCTGCTGCAGCTGCTGCTGCTGCTGCAGCAAAGCATCAGAGTCCTGCTGCGGCCCCTGCAGCAGCAGAGGCAGCAGCAACGCAGCAGCAAGAGGCTGCGCCCCACAGCGAAGCACGAAGGTGTGCGTACACCCGACCAGCCACTGCTGCTGCTGCTCTTGCTGCTGCTGCTGCTGCTGCTGCTGCTGCTGCTGCTCTTGCAGCTGCTGCTGCTGCTGAAAGCAGACAGCTAGTCTTCTCCAAGCCTCCGCCAAAGCAGCAGCAACTCTTTGCTGCACTAGGGGCCCCTCCAACTCCGAGGGTTGGGGGCCCCCCACCCTCGGGGGGGCCCCCCAGGGGGCCCCCGAGGGGGCCCCCCAGGGGCCCCCCTGGGGGCTCTGGGGGCCCCCCGGGGCCCCCCAATCGTTTGCTGCTGCATGCAGCTCTGTGAGAGTCAGCAGCTGCCGCATAACTGCAGCAGGAGTTGCTGCGGGTTCTCCTGCTGCTGCTGCTGCTGCAACACGGCGGCAGCCTTCGCAGCAGCAGGCCATGCCGCTGCTGCTGCTGCTGCTGCTGCTGCTGCTGCTGCTGCTGCTGCTGCTGCTGCTGCTCGTTTTGAGAAGGAGACACTCAACCGCGCAGCTCTCATACAGAAAACGCCGAAGGATCTTCCGCAGCGCCTCCTCCTTGCTGCTGCTGCTGCTGCTGCTGCTGCTGCTGCTGCTGCTGCTGCTGCTGCTGCTGCTTCGGGGCTGCTGCTTCAGAGCGCGAAGTCTATAAAGGGCCAAAAGAGATTTAATTGTCTCCAAGACGCGCCAAGCAGGCAAGCCCGGTGCTGAGCTGCTGCTGCTGCTGCTGCTGCTGCTGCTGCTGCTGTTGCTGCTGCTGCTGCTGCTGCTGCTGCCGATGCTGCTGCTGCTGCTTTCGCTGTTGTTGCTGCTGCTGTCGCTGACGCTGCTACTGCTGCTGTCACAGGCGTTGTTGTTGTTGCTGCTGCTGCTGTCACCGTTACTGCTGCTGCTGCTGCTGCTGCTGCTGCAGCCACAGCAGCAGTCAGCGTGAGCAAGAGCAGCAAAAAGAGTCTCTTGCTGCGGTGCAGCCACGTGCTGCTGCTGCTGTTGCTGCTGACTGCCGCTTTGGCTCTTTATCGTTTCTTCATTTTCCGTCATTTCTCTTTTGCATTTCGCCTCCACCAGGGCCTCCCCCAACTGTACCCTTTCCCCAGTAGGGGGCCCCTCTAGGGGCCCCCTTGGGGGCCCCCCTGGGGGCCCCCCTGGGGGCCCCTCTGGGGGCCCCTCTGGAGGGCTCTCTGGGGGCCCCCCTGGGGGGCCCCCTGGGGGCCCCCCTGGGGGGCCCCCGAGGGGCCCCTTATGTTGGCTGGTAAGGGCAAAGGGCATCAGCAGCTGCCCTGAAGAGCCCGGGGGCCCCCGAGGGGTCTGGGGGGCCCCTGGGGGCCCCTAAGGGAAAAGTTTGGCAAGGGGGGCCCCCTTTGTGGCCCTGTGGGGGCCCCGGGGGCCCTCGGGAAAGTTAATTGGTTTGAGGGTCTTTTTAATTAATTAAAATTAAATAAAATATTAAATTCACAGAAACTTTATTTCATAAGAGGGGCCCCCCGGGGGCCCTCCGCTCAGAGGCCCCCAGGGCCCCGCCACAGGCGCTTCCAGCAGCAGCAGCAGCAGCAGCAGCAGCAGCAGCAGCAGCAGCAGCAGCAGCAGCAGCAGCAGCAGCAGGAAAAGTCCATTATTTTACTTTGCTTCCTTCTGCTGAGGCTCGTTAGGGGGCAATACTTGCACTTGAGTCCCTTTGTGCCCGCGTGCGTGGGAATCGAGGGTTTAGGGTTTAGGGTTTAGGGTTTAGGGTTTAGGGTTTAGGGTTTACAATGGCGAAGAAAAACAACAGAACAGCCCACAGCAAAAGAGTGCAGCAGCTAATTTTGAAGGAGAAGGCGGAAGAGAAGAAAAGGGAAGAAAGAAGACTCAGGAAACAGGGCCTCAGGGACCTCACTGCCCTCGTAAACCCTAAACCCTAAACCCTAAACCCTAAACCCTAAACCCTAAACCCTAAACCCTAAGCAGCAGCACAGGCAGCACTAAAAGATCCCGCAGATGGTTGCTTCCACAGTTCCTCGCACGAGCAGCAGAACTCTGCCACTTCAGAACTCAGCGCCTAGGGTTTAGGGTTTAGGGTTTAGGGTTTAGGGTTTAGGGATTAAGGGTTTAGGGTTTCCGTGGTTCGCGCAGCTAAATTCCGTGGAGATCGCAGCACCCCGAAGCAGCGAAACAGAAAGCCAAAACCCCACGGGGGCCCCCCAGGGGGGCCCCCAGGGGGCCCCCCAGGGGGCCCCCCAGGGGGCCCCCCAGGGGGGCCCCCCGAGGGCCCCTGAAAAGGCAAGGGAGACAATTCATACCAAAATGGTAAGGACCCTAGGGCCCCCTGGGGGCCCCCTGGGGGCCCCCTGGGGGCCCCCTGGGGGCCCCCTGGGGGCCCCCTGGGGGCCCCCAGACTTATAAATCTTAGGGGGCCCCCGACACTGTACATTTAGCCAAAATGGGGGCCCCCGGGGGCCCGTTTTGTGGACCCTAAGGCCTCCGAGGCCCCATAGAGCTGTCTAGGTACTAAACCCTAAACCCTTTTTTGGGGTTTTGATTGCAGAGGTCAATAGCCACCAGCCGAGAGAACCTGGACGAGGACATGGAAACAGATGGCCCCAGCAGCAGCAGCAGCAGCAGCAGCAGCAGCAGCAGCAGCAGCAGCAGCAGCAGCACGGGGCTGTTTAAGGGGGCGCGGACGCTGAAGGCCATTAAGAAGAAGACAGCAGCAGCAGCAGCAGCAGCAGCAGCAAAACTGGGGGGCTCCGGAATCGCCAAGGGGACTGCTAGGGTTTCTCTAAACCCTCAGAAAAAAGCTAAACCCTCAAAAGGGGTTTTACTGAAAGGGCTGCTAACCCCCAAGCAGGTCCCCTCGCGCTACAAGGACATCGTGCGCAGAGTCAACAAGAGACTCAGTAAACCCTAAACCCTAAACCCTAAACCCTAAACCCTAAACCCTAGCCGCGTTCCGGGCGCACGAGCCGCGCCGCCGCACAAGCAAACCCTAAACCCTAAACCCTAGCCCTCGCGCCCTCACTCCAGCATTTCAGCAGAAGCCCTTGATGTGGGCCTTCGCGCGCCGAGGGTTTAGGGTTTAGGGTTTAGGGTTTAGGGTTTAGGATTGTGGTTTCTGCTGCGCAGGGAAAGGCGCCGTCGTGGTCACTCCCATGCAGATTTGAAGACACAATTTGCTGCTGCAGCGGCTGCTTCTGCAGCGGCTGCTGCTGCAGCGGCTGCTGCAGCAGCAGCAGCATCTGCTGCTGCTGCTGCAATGAGCGTTGGCTCAGGCGTCGACGAGCAGCAGCAGCAGTACAGCAGCAGCAGCAGCTGCTGCTGCTGCTGCTGCTGCCCGCTGGGCCGCCGGTTTTTTGGGGCCTTGGGGGTAAAAACAGAGTGGCAGATCGTTTTCTGATGGATTTAGGGTTTAGAGCTTTTAAATTAGGGTTTAGGGTTTAGGGTTTAGGGTTTAGGGTTTAGGAGGTGTGGACTAGGGTTTAGGGTTTGAGTTTCGAGCTCCGGCTGTCTGCTGTCTCGGGGCGTGTCGGCGGAGCTGCGGAAGCCGGGAGAACACAAATGAATAAAAACCGAAAAAAAGAAATAATTTGAAATAAATAAAAAGTAATTTTGTTTTTTATTTCATCTTTTCCCGCGCGTTCAACTTGAAAAGTTCCTTCCAGGTGTCGAGACACCCCAGCCCAGCAGCGGCTTGCTGCTGCTGCTGCGGCAGCAGCAGCAGCAGCAGCAGCTGCTGCTGCTGCGCGTTCGCGTTCCTGACTCTGCTTTAAAAAGCCACCAAAGCAGCCTATCCCAGCAGCAGCAGCAGCAGCAGCAGCAGCAGCAGCAGCAGCAGCAGATGGCGCCGCTGTGCCCCCACCCCGCGCTGCTGCGCAGACTCGAACAAACCCTCTGCTGCAGCGCCCCGCAGCAAAACTTCGCCTTCGGCCCTTTTTCAGTTCCTGGAAAACAAGTTTTTTTGTTATCGCGGTGGAGTTACGCGATGGTGAACTTGCGGCCGCTGGTTCCGGGGCACAGCCTGGTGGTGCCTCGCCGCCGCGTGGAGGTGGGTGTACTTTTCTCTTTTCTGCTTTTTCCAGATTTTTTGACAAAAAATAAAAGTTATTTCCGAATTCTCCGTTTAATTTCCCGCATTTTGGGCCCCTTAGGCGCGAATTTAATCAAAAAAAAGTTTTGACGACGATGGGACTCGAACCCACAACCTTCTGATCCGAAGTCAGACGCCCTATCCATTGGGCCACGCCGCCGCTGGCCGTGGGCCTCTGTTTATCCCGTAGTCACCGGAGAAGTTCATTTTCGATTTTTGTTTTTTATTTTATTTTCTTTTTTCGTTTCTTTTCTCGCCAATAAGTCTAAAAATAATGCTATTTAATTAAACCCAAATAAGTGCAGTTTGCCCGCTATTTGGCCCCTCGGACTTGGGAAAAAATCCAACATTTTCGGCTTTTTGTGTTTTATTTTTGCCATTTTTCAAATGCATGCACTCGGAAATCCTGCAGAGTAGAAGTGCATTAAAGTGCAACTTCGAATTTTATTCATTTCGCGTTTTTGTCCATTTGCATGCGAAAATAAAAAATGGCATTTCCGTCATTTTTATGCAAAAGTTGGATTTGCATGCGCAGTTGTTTGAGTCTTTTCGCCCTTTTGCATGCCACTTCCGCGAATAAAGAAGAACTTTTATTTTAATTTATTTAAAAGATTTATTTTATTTATTTAATTACCTAATTGCCCTCTTGCAGGCCCAGGTGTATGTACAGCTGCGCACTACTTCTGCAGTGTATGCAGGAAAAATGTCTTTTTGTTTTTTTTTTCGCGCTGACGCAAATAAATGCCAAATGAATTTTGTTTTTTATTTATTTCCAATTTAATGCATTAATTAATTAATTAACATAATAATTAATTAAGAAGAACTTCCGTTTCATTTTTCGTCTTTTGCTTTTCTACTTTGCATGCGCGTTTGCTGCACTTGGCTTTTTGCTGCGCCTCCCGAGTGTACGTACACCTCAAAACACGGGCTTTAGCGCAGAGAGGGAAATCTGTCAAAGTTCAAAAGATTAAAAATGAATTAAAAGACGGGAAATGTTCAATTTAATTTTAAATTGGGACTCTTTGAAAAAGCAGAAAGAGCTGCTTGTCAGGGAAATGATCAACTAAAGCTTTAAAGTGTCCATTTGCTGCTGCAGCAGCAAATGCTGCTGCAGCAGCAAATGGACAATTTAAACGCAGCTTTGCTGCTGCAGCAGCAAGACTGCTGCAGCAGCGGGAAGCAGCACGTTGCATGCATTGTGAAAGTGGAGCTTTTATTGTTTATTCATTCGAAGTCCCTGGGTTCTGAATTACTAAATTTGTTTTCCGGAAAGTGCTCGGAAAAACGGGCACTTGTGCATTCGGGTGTACGTACACCTCACTCGGGTGTACATACACCTCACGCGGCCATGGCCTGGGGTGTACGTACACCTCGCGCCGCGCAGCGAGGTGAAGTGGTGAATTTTCGTTTTGAGCTTTTTTGGGGTTGTTAAAAGCGGCTTAAAAAGGAGAATAAATAAAAAGGAAGTAGAGGAGCAGCAGCAGACCAAAAGTGTCCGAAAATGGAGACAAAAGGGCCTTTTTAAAAGGACTTTGTGCGAAAGTGTCCGGGGGCCCCCGGGAAGGCGGAGGGGGCCCCCTGGGGCGTTTGGGGCGCCGAAAAGAGGTTTAGGAAGCAAATTAAAAGCACTTTAAATGCAGGAACAAACGAAAGAAAATGCGGAAACAAATAAAGCATTTAAGAAGCAGTTTTGTCCGTTTTTCGGTGCTGCAGCGGCTGTGCGAGCTGTCCGAAGAAGAGCTGGGGGACCTCTTCGGCGCCGCGCAGAGTGTGGGGTGGCTGCTGAGCTGTCGATACACCCGAGAAGCCCTTACGGTGTCTCTACAGGACGGAGCAGCAGCAGGTCAAACTATTTCTCATTTGCATTTGCACATTTTGCCGAGACAGGCGGGGGACTTCGAGCCCAACGACGAGGTGTACAGACACCTCGAGCGCGCCAACCCCGCCGCCCCCAAACTCCAACTCGACTGTCCAGACAGGCCGTCAGCCGCGCTTAGGGTTTAGGGTTTAGGGTTTGGGGTTTGGGGTTTGGGGTTTAGGGTTTAGGGTTTAGGGTTTAGGGTTTAGGGTTTGGGGTTTGGGGTTTGGGGTTTAGGGTTTAGGGTTTGGGGTTTAGGGTTTAGGGTTTAGGGTTTAGGGTTTGTGGTTTGGGGTTTGGGGTTTCTGGGGATGCGAACTCGGGCTTCGGGGTTGGGAATGGGGCTTGGGGTTGGGGAAGGAGGGTTTGGGGTTTGGGAGCTAGGGTTTGGGGTTTAGGGTTTACTAAGGTTTAGGGTTTACTAGGGTTTAGGGTTTACTAGGGTTTAGGGTTTACTAGGGTTTCGGGTTTGGGGGGGTGGGAGCGGGCGAGGGCGAGGGTTTAAGGAGGGATTGGGGGCCTAGGCTTTGGGCTTCAGAGAAGGGCTAGGGTTTAGGGTTTAGGGTTTAGGGTTTAGAGCCTGCGGATTATGCCTCTAATGTTTTCTTTTGCTTTTTTATATTTCCTTCTGCAGCCACTTCTATTTAGCTGCAGCATTTGCTGCTTGCTGTCTATTCATTCTATTATTTATTTATTTATTCTTATTTATTTATTTTTATTTTTTTATTTTTATTTTAATTTATTTATTTTTATTTTTATTTATTTATTTATTTATTTACTTATTTATTTATTTTTCTTTTTGCTGCAGGGCGCGCACCCATGAGGAAATGGCAGCAGAGGCCGAAGACTTCCGCGTTTTTGGCCAAGAACTCATAAAGAAAATGAAGCAGCAGCAGCAGCAGCAGCAGCAGCAGCAGTAGGAGCAGCAGCAGCAGCAGCAGCAGCAGTAGGAGCAGCATCAGCAGCAGCAGCAGCTGCTGCAGCGCTAGAAATGCTTGCGGCAACGGCAGCGACAGTGGCAGCAGTAACTGTAGCAGCAGCAGCACTAGCACTGGCACCAGCACCAGCGGCAGCAGCAGCAGCAGCAGCAGCAGCAACAGCAGCTGCAGCAGCAGCAGCAGCAGCTGCTGCTGCAGCAGCAGCAGCAGCAGCAAAAGATATTTGAAAGAGAAGTTAAGTCCTCGGGGAAACTGCACTTTGGCTCCGAGTCAAAAAGAGACAGAAGGAGGCTTTCTGCTGTCTCCTTTCCGCTGCCACAAAGATGCGAATTAGTTATTTTGAATTTATTTATTTTTTTATTTTTTATTTAATTATTTAATTTAATCATTTAATTTAATTATTTGTTTATTTATTCCAATTAGTCTGAGTCGGTGGAGGTGCGGAGGCTGGGTACTGTGCGGGGAGCAGCTGCTGCTGCTCACGGGGCGACTGTTCTCGTCCCAGGTGCTGCTGTTGTTGCTGCTGCAGTTGCTGCTGGCTGTTCTGCTGCTGCTGCTGGTCCTGCGTTGCCGTTGCTGCGGGAGCTGCTGCTGCTGCTGCTGCCTTAGCTGCTGCAAGCTGCTGCTTCTGTGCTGCTGCCTTCGCAGCTGCGGCTGCTGCTCCGGCGGGCCGTGCTGCTGCTGCTCTGCTGCTGCTGCTGCTGCTGCTGCTGCTGCTTGCCTTCAACTCCGAGCTTCCAAAAATGCTAGTGGGGGGTAATTTCTTTTGATAATGGAAGGAAATGAGATAATAAACAATTAACAAACAATTGCATGCAATTTTACCTGTCTGCTGCACCCCAGGGCTCCTCTAAGGACTTTGGGGGCCCCCTGGGGGGCCCCCTAGGGGCCCCCCTGGGGGCCCCCCTGGGGGCCCCCCTGGAGGGCCCCCCCTGGGGCCCCCCAAAGCCCCTCGAGGGTTTGCCCGTGTCTGCATTAGCTGCTGCTGCTGCTGCTGCTGCAGCAGCAAGGCGGAAAACAAATCAAAGAAACGCAAAACGCAGCAGCGCGGTGGTGCGGCTGCTGCTGCGCTTCGAAACCGCACCACTGGTCTGCTGGGTGCTCGGGTGGCTTTTAACGTTTTTTCCGGAATTTTCAATTCAAATTCTCAGTTTTATTTGTTTTTAATTATTTAATTTCAGGTTTGCACAAGAAGAAGCGGCTGGAAGGGTTCCGTCTTGAGGTGCATGTACACCCCAGCACCCGCGCAGCGGGCGCTGGCTCACGGGGAATTTCCCGCGAAAAACCCCCGCCTTTTCCGCCAATTGATTTCATTTTCTTTTTTTAATTCATTTTTAAATTCAATTTCCAATTTAAATGGCGTTTTCCCGGCGAATCGCGGCGAGGCGCGCGCGAGCGCGCCTCCAGTTGCGGTGTCTAGACACCTCAAGCCCGAACTGAAAAACCAGTTTATAGATTTTCTCGGGTGTACAGACACCTCTCTGTTCGGCGTTTTCACCCGAAACAACGCTGACGTCATTAATAAACAAATATATTTAATTTAAATAAAAAAAGAAACTTTTTCCGAAAAAAAAGGGTTTATGGTTAGGGTTTAGGGTTTGTGTTTCTTGATCGCCGCTGCGCCCTGCAAGAGTCACCTTCGCTCACATTGCCTTTTCTTGTTTTTGAAATTCAAAATTATTCAAAATTGCTTTTAGACATTTTTAAAGTTTTTTTAATTTCTTTCTGACCCCAAACGAAACATTTAAAAGGTCTTTTGAAAAAAGAAAAAGCCAAAAAAACAAAATAGAAATCAAAAGACGAGATGGACTTGGAAGCGGCTTCAGCAGCAGCAGCAACAGCAACAGCAGCAGCAGCAGCAGCAGCAGCAGCAGCAACAGTAGAAGCAGCAGCAGCAGCAACAGCAGAAGCAGCAGCAGCAGCTTTAAAAGCGGCAGATATAAATATTAGGAGTCTCTTTGAGATGCAGCAAACCTTGAAGACACAGCTCCTTCACAAAACAAATAAAACCCAGCTAGCTAGCCACAGCTAGCCATAGCTAGCCACAGCTAGCCATATCCAGCCACAGCTAGCCATAGCTAGCCATAGCTAGCCACAGCTAGCCACACCTGGCCACAGCTAGCCATAGCTAAACACACCTAGCAATAGCTAGCCATAGCTAGCCACAGCTAGCCATAGCTAGCCACAGCTAGCCATAGCTAGCCACAGCTAGCCACGGAAGGTTCTAGACAACCACAGATAGCTCCAGCTAGCCACAGCTAGCTGCAACCGGCTACAGCTAGCCATAGCTAGCGCCAGCCAGCCACAGCTAGCCACAGCTAGCCACAGCTAGCTACGGCTACCTACGGCTAGCTACGGCTAGCTACGGCTAGCTACGGACAGCCCAAGCTTAACGAAAGATAGCCCCAGTGAGCCACAGCTAGCTGCAGAGCTAGCTGCGGCTGCCGTGGCTAGCTGCAGCTAGCTGCTGCTGCAGCTAGCTGCTGCTGCAGCTAGCTGCAGCTAGTCAAAGCCAGCAGCAGCTAGCCACAAGCCTTCCCCTACTGCTGGATGCTCTAAAAGCGTCTTGCGAAGCAAACAAATGAAGAGCGCTTCGCGTTCAAAAACCCTAAACCCTAAACCCTAAACCCTAAACCCTAAGCCCTAAACCCTAATGGTAAACCCTAAGTCCTTATTGCAAATGCAAAAGGGAAATTTCAAGCTGCGCTTTAGTAGCCCTTCTGTTTCGAGGTGTACATACACCTCACAAAAGCTTAGCCACTGCGCCTGTCTGCAGCAGCAGCAGCTGCTGCTGCTGCAGCAGCAGCAGCTGCTGCTGCGGCTACAGTTGCTGCTGCTGCAGTTGCTGCTGCTGCTGCTGCAGTTGCTGCTGCTGGTTTGGCAGATTTCGGGTGTACGTACACCCGGAAAAGGGTCGCAACGAATTCTTCCCATCTGAGCAGCACGTGGATTTTATTTTATTTATATTTATTTATTGTTTTGTTATTTATTTATTTATTTATTTATTTATTTATTTATTTATTTATTTATTTATTTATTTATTTATTTATTTTGTTTAATTGCTGCTGCTCAGTGGGGCGCTGGGCGACCGTGGGCTCCCATTGTTTGTGCTGGGCTTCTTAACTTTTTGCAATTTAATTAATTAATTAATTATTTATTTATTTATTTAGTTATTTTTATTTATTTGTTTATTTAGTTATTTATTTATTTATTTATTTATTTATTTATTTATTTATTCATCATCATTAAAAAGTCCCGTTTCCTCTTCGTCTTCTTCTTGCCCTTCTGTCTCCTGTCTGTACTGTTCAATGAGGCCCCCCACGGCGCTGTCTGCTGCTGCTGCTGCTGCTGCTGCTGCTGCTGCTGCTGTTGCTGCTGCTGCTGCTGCGTCTTTTTCTGCGTCGCTGGCTGCTTCTTCTTCGTCGCTCTCTTCTGCTGCAGCAGCAGCAGCAGCTGCTGCTGCTGCTGCTTCTGTTTTGTTTCTTTTGTGCCACTTTCTCGTTTCGAGCGGCTCTTCGCCGTCGGACTCTGCTGCGCTGCTGCTGCTGCTGCTGCTGCTGCCTTCTGCGTCAGTTTCTGTCTCCTTTTGCTCTTCTTTTCGAAACACTTTTTGCTTTTTGCTGCTGTCTCCTTTGGACTTGGCGGAGTGTTCTCTGCTGCTGCTGCTGCGGAGTCTGTCTCGGTCTCTGTTGGCAGCGGGGGCCGCTGCTGCTGCTGCTGCGGGGGCTGCTGCTGCTGCGCCTGCTGCTGCTGCTGCTGCTGCTGCTGCTGCAGCGTTCGCAGCAACGCATGCATCTATCCACTCTCCGTAAACATCTATTCCTTCTTCTAATCGACTTATTTGTTTGTCATAATTCGAGCCGCAGAGGCGGCAGCAAAGAGAGCCCACTCCCCGCACTCTATCCCTAAACAGAATTAAAAAAAGAATTAAAAAAGAATTAAAAAAGTTAAAAAAAGAATAAAAAAGAATTAAAAAAGAATTAAAAAAAGAATTAAAAAAGTATTAAAAAAAGAATTTAAAAAGAATTATAAAAAAATTAAAAAGGAATTAAAAAAGAATCAAAAAAGAATTTAAAAAGAATTCAAAAAGAATTAAAAACAAATAAAAAAAGAATTAATTAAAAAGAATTAGTTAAAAAGAATTAATTAAAAAGAATTAATTAAGAAGAATTAATTAGAAAGAATTGAAAAGAAATGCAAAAGAAGTACTAAAAAGTAATTTAAAAGAATTAAAAAGAACTGCTGAAAAGAGGAATTGTTAAAAGGAATTGTTCAAAAGAATTGTTAAAAAAGAATTATTGAAAAAGAATTATTAAAAAGAAATTAAAAAATAAAAAAGAATTAATTTAAAAAGAATTGTTAAAAAGAATTATTAAACAAGAATTAAAAATATAATTAAAAAAGAATTCAAAAGAATTAAAAATGAATTAAAAAAATTAAAAATGAATTTAAAAAGAATTTAAAAAGAATTAATTTTCATCTTTTTCAATTAAATAATTATTTAAATTTAAATTCTTTTCAGCTTTTTGTTTTTTTCATTTTTTGTAAAATGAAAATAAATGCATTATTTGTGTTTCGTAAACCCTAAACCCTAAAATGGAGATTAAAAAGGGTTTGGAGAACTGAAATTAGGGTTTGAAAACACAAATTAGGGTTTAGCGAGGTAAAATTGGGGTTTTAAAACACAAATGAGGGTTTGGCGAAATAAAATTAGGGTTTAGGGAAACACAAATTAGAGTTTTAAAAAACACAAATTAGGGTTTAGGGAAACATATATTAGGGTTTAGGAAAACAAAAATGAAAATTTTCAAAAACACAAATTAGGGTTTTCGGAAATTAAAATGAGGGTTTAAAGAAACACAAACAAGGGTATAGGGGGACAAGAAAAAAGGGTTTACAAAAACAAAAAAGGGTTTAGGGTTTAGGGTTTAGGGTTTAGGAAGAAAAAAGGGTTTAGAAAACACAAAGATACAAAATGAGGGTTTAGGGGAGTCAAAAAAGGGTTTGGAAAAACAAAAATGAGGGTTTAGGGAGATAATAAAAGAGGGTTTAGAGAGATGCAAAAAAAGGGTTTAGGGTTTAGGAAAATTAAAAAGGGTTTAGAAAGAAAACGAGGGTTTAGGGTTTAGAAAGATAGGAAAAAGGGCTGGGGGAAATAAAAAATGAGGGTTTAGAAAAAGAGGGTTTAGAGAAATACAAAAAAGGGTTTAGGGAAATAAAAAAGGGTTTAGGGAAGTGAAAAAGGGTTTAGGGTTTAGGGTTTTGGGGAAGTAAAAGGAGGTTTAGAAAGACAGAAAAAAGGGTTTAGGGAAATAAAAAAGGGTTTAGGGAAATAAAAAGGGTTTAGAAATATAAAAAAAAGGGTTTAGGGAAATAAAAAGGGTTTAGAGATATAAAAAAGAGTTTAGAGAGACGAGGAGGTTCAAATAAAAAGAGAAAAAGCAATTAGGGTTTAGGGTTTCGAAAAAAGGGTTTAGGAAGAAAAGGGAAAGGGTTTGAAGAGGGCGAAAGGGTTTTGAAAAATTAGGGTTTAGGGGTTCTCAA